TGTCGTTGTGGCGCAGAGCCACTCGTTGTTTTAGGGTTGCTTCGCGCAGGGCAGCCCCCGATCGGATTTCCTCGACTAGGTCGAGCTCATCCCTTAGTGCTTCGTCATTCATTTCTTCGTCGAGGGGTTCCTCTGTTCGTCGGGATGGTTCCATGATTTCGACTGGAATGACAGCTTCGGTGCCGTACGTTAGTCGGAATGGTGTTTCACCCGTCGTTGAATGGGGTGTGGTGCGGTATGCCCACAGGACGCTGTGGAGTTCCTCGACCCATCCTCTTTTGGCTTCGCCGAGTCGACGTTTGAGCCCTCGGAGGATGACTCTGTTCGCGGCTTCGGCTTGCCCGTTGGTCTGAGGGTGCTCGACCGATGTGAAGTGATGTTTGGTCCCCAGTTTGGTGACGAAGTCTCGGAATCCGTGGTCGGTGAATTGGGTGCCGTTGTCGGTCACCAGTGCCTGCGGAATTCCGAACCTGGCGAGCACGTTTCTTTTGTAGAAACGGAGGATGTTATGTGAGGTGATTTTCGCGAGGGCCTCGGCCTCGATCCATTTTGTGAAGTAATCCACGGCGACGATTAGGAACTTGTTCTGATAGGTCCCTTGCACGAAGGGCCCGAGGATGTCCATGCCCCCACCAGGCGAACGGCCATGGGGATGATAATGTGCTCAGCTCGTGTGGGGGAGCGAGGTGCATATCCCCGTGCTTCTGGCACTTGTCACATTTTTTCACGTGTTCCTTGGCGTCCTGTTGCATCGTCGGCCAGTAGTATCCTGCTCGAAGGGCTTTCCTTGCCAAGGATTTACCGCCCATGTGCTGGGCGTTGATACCTTCGTGTATCTCCCGCAATACGTCGGGGATGGAGGACTCGTCAATGCATTTCAGGAGGGGAATGGAGAATCCCCTTCTGTACAGTTTCTGCTCGAGAACAACGTAAGAACATGCTCGCCGCTTTATTGTGGCTGCGTCGGCCTGGTTCGTCGGGAGTTCTCCCTTTGTAAGGAAATTATAGACCGGGGTCATCCAAGACGTGGCGTCCCCGATGGCATGGACCTCGACCGTAGTCGAGGGTGGTTCGATACTCGGACGTGCCAGAGATTCTTGGATGACGGATTTATTCCCGCCTTTCTTTCGTGTGCTCGCGAGTTTGGACAATATGTCCGCCCTCGTGTTTTGCTCGCGGGGAACGTGAGAGATTTCTGCTCGTACGAACTTTGCCATGTGTTTTTTGACTAAGTTCAGGTACTCAATGAGGTTGTCATTCTTGGCCTGGTAGCTTCCTTGTACTTGGGAAGCGACGAGCTGGGAGTCGGTGTAAATTTGAACTTCGCGGGCTCCTAGGTCCTCGGCCAATCTCAGTCCCGCGAGCAGGGCTTCGTATTCTGCCTGGTTATTTGATGTCGGGAAGGAGAGAACCAAGGAGTGCTCGATTACCACCCCTTCTTCGTTTTCCAGGAGGATCCCTGCGCCGCTTCCGGACGAGCTGGAGGCTCCGTCGACGAAGATGGTCCACTTGTGTTCCTTTCCCGGGGGAATGTCGTTAGAGGTCATCTCGGCGACGAAGTCGGCTAAGGCTTGTGCTTTCAGGGCTTTCCTGCTCTCGTACTGAATGTCGAATTCAGAGAGTTCCAGGGACCACTTAAGCATTCTGCCCGCCATATCTGGCCGACCCAGGAGTTGTCTCACCGGTTGATCGGTTCGCACGACAATGGTGTGTGCTAGAAAGTAGTGTCTGAGCCTCCTCGCAGCGTTGACGAGGGCCAGTGCAACCTTTTCTATCTGTTGATACCTGCTCTCGGGGCCTTGTAAGGCTTTGCTCGTGAAGTAGACAGGTTTCTGCCCGTTGGGAGTCTCGCGGACAAGAGCTGCACTGATGGCTTCGTTTGAAACTGCCAAGTATAGGTAAAGTGGCTCGTTGTCATCTGGTCGAGACAGCACGGGCGGTTGAGACAGGCTCTGCTTCAGATGGCGAAGTGCGTGTTCGCATTCCTCGGTCCATTCGAAGGCTGCTTCCTTTCGAAGGAGTTTGAAAAAGGGAAGGGCGTGCTGAGCGGATTTCGCGACGAAGCGTGAAAGTGATGTCAACATGCCGTTCATTACCTGTATCGACTTTTTCGACGTTGGAGTCGGGAGGTCGGCGAATGCTCGGCACTTGTCGGGGTTGGCTTCAATGCCTCGTTCTGTTAGATAGAATCCGAGGAACTTTCCTGCCTTAACCCCAAATGTGCACTTCTCGGGGTTGAACCTCATTTTGCATTGTCTTGCTTGGGCGAAGACAGTCTTAAGATGAGCTGCGTGATCGGTGTCTGCTCGAGATTTGACGATCATGTCGTCCATGTATACTTCGAGCATGTCGCCGATCTGGAAGCCGGGACGTAGAGTTGGACGGCAGGCTGTCGAGCATGACTTCATCGTGGGGCTGGACACCGAGATGTCGAGGTGGACATCAGGGTGTCGGGCATGGAGGCGGCCCCCTTTGCCCAGTGTGGTCTTTAGTGAGTCCCTTTGGACTGGGCCTTAGTAATGCTTTTGGGCCTGTCGGGCCCAGTCCAGAACAGTTACAAATAAGACTAAGATAAAAAATTCGTCAAAGAAAAATTGTTCTATTTAAAATGATTGTCTCATTAAGCGTTCACCATCTTTCTTTAAACATGTCAACTCTTTCTTCCAAATACATTGGCTTCACAGACAAAGTCATCATGTCAACTCTTTTAACCCATCACTAGGAGTGGACAATGATTCAGTTTGTTCGGTTAGATCGATTATTGGTTTAAACGGGTTGAATTTATGAACAAATCTCATCTTTATACATATAAAAAAAATCAAAACCAAATCAATGTGGTAGAAAGAAAAATTAGTATTTCATACATGGGAAGGAAGTGCAATGCATTGACAAAACTATCAGCATTTTTGAACCATAAAAAATTTTAGTCTGGAATTCTTGGTACACCCCTTTATTGCAGGCTCAGTTTTATCACAACTATGGTGTATATCAGTCACTAAAACAATAAATAACCCCTGAACATTTCTACTACAATATTATATAACAGGTTCAACTTTGCATTTACAAGACTTTAATCTTTTCTCAAAGCTCTCAGGACTACAATATTATATAACATGCTATGCTACAACCGGGCTTATGTTGAAACTCCCTGACTGAACTGCATGCATTATAGTACTTCACTTTAGAAGCCACTCTCTCCAACTTTGATCTTCTCGCCGTTCTCTATAAGCTTCTCAACTATCAGACAATGAAATCAACATTGAAGTTTCAGGAAAAGGAATGCAATGTGAATGTGTAATATGTCGATAAATCTAATACTGTATATATCATGTTTGTTCAAAGAATAGTGTTACAGCATTGAAATCATTTAATGATTAATCAATATTATGACATTGTTAAATATTACAGAATAGTATATACAGGCTGAAGTTTGTTTATTAAGTGTAAACCAAACTAACCTCTTTTTTCGTCATCGGTATTGCAACAATCATCATGGTTGCTGGTTCCTTCAAGCCACTCTTCTAGTTTAGCTTCTTTATTAGCTTTGAAGTCGTCAAACCTTTCTGATAATGACAGCAACTTAATGCTAATCTCGCTATCATCAGTCTGCAAGTATTGAGACTCGTCTTCAACCTGGCTTGATACAGGCAACTCATCAGGTTCAGTAGCCTGTACAGATGAAGTTATACCGTCTGATGTGATCGATAACGGCAAATCAGGATATTGCGACTTCTCTTCCTTGGAAAATATTGGTCCTTTACCGTCAGTCACAGTCTGTTGCCACTTGAGATTGCTAACCTTCTGTTTCGCCGTCTTTAAAACATTAGAAAAATAGTTACTCTTTTTATCATCACCTTCCTGAGCGGAAAACGAACTATTACCCCAAAAGTTAGTTCTTTCTGTCTGAGACCTTGGTGTTGATGCTGATGACTGGATTAACTCTCTTTTTGGTTTTTTTGTTTTCATAATTTCGAGAGATTTGTTGATGTCTCCTATCATTTCATCAACTATGGAAAATCCACACTCTTTCATTGATCGAACCGCTGTGATAGAATCCTCCAAGTCTTCTGTGCTCAAAGCTGTTTCGTGAACCTTTTCAACAACGTTTTTGTCAGCTTTGACAACATTTGGCACTGCATTTTGAGCATGTTGTTGGATAAAGTAAAGCCCTGCGGATGGTTCATTAGCAACATACTTCATCATATCCGCCATGCATTCACTTATCTCCATAAAACCGTCGACGGTTGAGAATTCGTGCATCTTCCTAAAAACAAAGCATAGTTCATCATTAATACATTTTAGACAACCATTACATAGATACATTTCTTTCTTATCCTTGATCTCAAATCCTAACGAGTACTCCTATGTAGCACCGACACCTCTAAAAAAAGGCGTGTACGTGTCCGACACCTGTACTGACACTTGTAATTGCGTTGAATTTACTCATTTTTTCAAGTTATTATTGGTGTCACCGTGTCAGTGTCAGGGTCATTTTCGACGTGTCTGTGCTTCATCTGCCGCCGCAGATTAACAGGTTCAATGAAATGGAATGTGTTATATATAATATGATGAGAAGTAAATTAAAAAAAGAAACATCTTAGGTATCTCTAATTGCCATGTGCTGCATCGGGGCGTAATTTTTTTACAAATCATGTCAGTTACAAAGAATGGAATTTAAAGAGCAAGGATATACCTATTACCTAAGATATAAATTTCCAAAGACTAATGTGAAACTGTCATACTACTTTATCAACAATATTTGAATATGTTATCAATCTCGGAATTGCGGCACGGCGCAGCCATCTTCAAAAATGGAACGTAACGGGAGAGGGAAGCGGAACGGCCGATATTTTAGTAACGCGGATACTAATATAGTTAATATTAATGAACGCATAATTGTTAAAAACTAAAATAAATTAATCAAAATTCATGAAGTATTCATATTTAAAAATAAAAGTCAGAAGTCTTGAGCAAAACACATTTGCAAATGCCAATAAAATTCAATAAAATAACCTTGTTATCCTTAAAAACATAAGGGTAATATCATTTACGGCAGACGCGGCCGAAGCAGCCACTCTAATGCGGCGTTGTTCTGAATTCAATCTCACTATTGCAGTCGTTTCAGCCGAGTCACCCATGTGTGACGGAACGGCACGGCCTGACGCAGTTTTCTTGATTTTTCTGTTCCGTGCCGAGATAACGGCCGAGTTTAATAACATATTCTATCCGTTACCAAATGATTATCATTTCCTTTTTTAACCATTTACCATTGGCACCTAAGCGAATCCATCGCGCACTATAGGCATTCAATACTCCTAACCAATATAGTCGAGCACGAGATCTTAAGTAGGACTGGTCGACTTGTAAAAGATTATAAAACTCAGATAGTTAGCACGACTTGTAAGATCCTACCAAAGGGGGAAATGGTAATTTCATACATATATATATATATATATATATATATATATATATATATATATATATATATATATATATACACACAATGCACAAAAAACAAGAAAATCATAATACATGCACACGCACACACAAAAAAAAACATTTTTTTTTTTACGATCCGGCTTCAAAACGGTCATCTTGACCACGCCCCGGACGAAAACAATCTTTCTTTGATAGTAGCACTTTGAGGCATCCTCTAGCATGTAAAAATCTTACGATCCAACACTCAATCTTGAGTACACTGGTCCTAACTACTTCCAATCAGATAAAGTTCAAAGATTATGAAGTTTATAGAAAATACATTGGCAGTGAGAGGGCTCTCTTTTAAGAGAAACATAAAAAATGATAACTTATATGTCTCTAGTCTACGATTTTATACATGGATTGAGCCACACTGACGCCAACTTAGTAGCTCCATCCAAAGAAAATTAGGCTCCCTAGATCAACAATGCAAAAAAGGCTAAAAAGAGGATAGAAAATTCTAACCTCTCAGTACATCAACAAGGGAATCACCTCGAAAAAATCAGGCAGCAAACACCTGCAAATGATTTTGGTGGCTACTGTAGAGATCGAAGAGACAATTAAGTGAGCATTTGAAATCAAATCAACCTTTAGTCAACAAAGAAAAATGAAGATATAGATAAAATTAGAGCAACCTTTGCTCTAGGTAAATCGCCATTTAAGGGACATAGATTTGAATACCCTCACCAGTAATTTCAACGATGAAGTGGAGGTAATACTATTGGGATTTGCGGCAACAGAAGGAAGAAAGAGAGAGCATTTTGTGATTTGAGGAAGAAGGAAAAGAAAACGTACCCAGAAGTGAAGATAAGATGATAATTGGAGCACAAACAAAAAACCACACTACCCTTCTCTGAGGTTGTCGTCACACGCACGACACGACACGACACGACAGTGACATATACCAACAGCTCTTAACTTGGTTTAGTTCATATTTTCCCTTAATACTCCCCGTGTTTCTTCCTAGCTACCTAACTAGTAAAAGTATCCTACTTTCGCACATATAGCGTAAAATCAATATAAATATTAAATAAATATTATATAATTATAATTAAATAATATATATAAACTTATATATTAAGAAAAAAAAAACTTTCTATTATAATTATAACATAAATAATATATATTTTAGTTGAAAAAACAAAGAAAATAATTAAATAATTATTTATCTATCGTTCATAAAAGTCACACAATATTATTATAAATATTAAATAAATAAAATATATTAATAATTAAAATATATATATATATATAATTTAAAAAGAATAATAAAATTGTATATTTATAAAAATAAATATCTATATAATTTTTTAGTATAAATGTTAACTTTTTATCATTAAAAAAGTTAATATTTTTTTAAGTCAATTTTTTTAAAATATTTATTATTTATATAAAATTAAACTTAAAAATTAAATTATTTTTTTTTTATTATTTTCAATTATTATTTTAAAAAATATATATATTTATATAATTTGATAATTGCTATTAAAATAAATATATGGGTGTAAAAATAAATTCGATCCGTCGGATCGTATCTATAATTTCAATTTCAAAAGTGTTTCGTGAGTCTATTTAAATCCTTAAAGAAAGATACTAAATAAAAGTGTAATAAAATTTTGTTCTAATAACGAATCTTGAAATATCTTGAAATATTTAATGAAAAGGTAAAATGTGGAGTTGGTTTATGTGTTATAGTAGATAAGGATTATTTATTATTTGTTCAATAATTTTCTTTAATATTAAAAAAATAAAATAATATAACATTAAAATTAGTATTAAAAGAAAACCATCTATTTATTTAAAAGATTTGCTAAATGGTTATTCTCTTATACATGCTACAATAATAAATTAAAAATAGAAAATTAAGTAGTCTTGACTCATAAAACATATATATTTTAAGTAGTATCGCTACGAAGAAAATTTATAAAATAAGGTTTTTATTATTATATGTGTTTTATTTTTTTAGTTTTTGAAAATAACTTTATAAATTAACAGTTAAAACCTATTAAAAAAAAATAAAAAATTATTTTTAATTGATTTATAATAAATACTACTAATTAAATTTTTAATGACTTCCCATTAAAAAAAATCTAATCCCTATGTTTTCAATTAATCCACTTTTTCAATTAAATCTTATTACCAACAAAAAATTATTTAACCTACAATCACGTTTTCAAAAATTAATTTTTAATACCGATGGATTTGGAAAACTTAAAAAATAAAGTAAATATACCACATTAATTAAGGTATAGTGCATAAGGCTTAACCTAATTAAGGTATAATATATTAGGTTTAACCAAAAGAGTAGTATATTAACCTATTAGATAACGTGTGAATTCAACCAAAGAAATTTAGAATAATTAATGTTGCATATATAAAAGGGTAGAATCAACAATGTTGAATATTTAAAATAGAAATGACAAACAGAAATAAAATTAGTCCTGTAAAACAGTTTTAGTTGGCCAATTATAGAACAACTTAGTCAAATTATACAGTAACACCGTATATCCCTTGCATAACATTAATATTGATACCAATTATTTTGATAGAGATTGAAACTAAAAATATAGTATAATGCTTAGCTTTTGAATTATAAATATTTTATATTTTTATTTTTATTGAATCTGTATAGATTGTTATCGTCAAAAATTTCAAATCCTGCCTTATATATTCATTCATCTTTTATTACTGTAAACACAAAGTTAATTATAATTTAAGTCAATCTTAATTCAATTTTCTGTTATAAAAGAACAAAAACATAATTTTTGTTACTAAATTTATAATAGAAAATCTAAACAGTTATAAATTCAAAAATTTCGAAAAACCCTCATTTAAATGATATATTACCAAATCAAAATTTCCAGATTTAGTTATATTAATTTCATGGAAAAAAACTGAATGGCCTAATAATGAAGCGGTGGAATTACCAAATTACTGTCATTTTTTTTAACAAAAGAAAACTTTTTTTTTACCAAAAACAACTCATACAACCGATCATAGAGAATGCATGAAACAACATATCAAACCATATCAGCTATTCTATCACTACGAAAAATAGGGAGCATCCAGATGAAGGTATATATAACTGCTATTGTATTTCAAGAGAAATATGTTTGTTCTTACTATTGTATTTCTTCATAATTTTACATAGACATGCATAAAATATATAAAAATATTCAAGAGCTATATTATTTAAAAACATAGAACCCAAATATTATTTAGTAACACCTTTTCGTAGATATACAGCTTTGTCAACATGAAAAGAATGCTTTGCCTAATAAGAAAATAACATACTGGAAAAAAGACAAAATGAATTAGCCACCAATCATCATCCAATTACAACATATAACAAAATACCTAAAAGTTAAGTTCTCATATAAGAAATGAATAGAAACCCTCGAATTTTTTACCAACATACACTCCTTTTAACAACTAAATCCCAATATATCACACATTTCAACCAATATTTCCACTATACCACCTTTTCAAAAAAAAAATTGATATTAGGAGGCTCCGCCCAATGGATGAGAGGATGGTCTTAAAATTACACAGCTTCCGCCCATTGCATTGGTGGAGCTGTTTGAGTAACGTTTTTTTTTTAAAAATAATTTTAAAAATAAATTAAAATTGCTGTTAAATAAAACAACAATATATTTTTTTAAAATGACTTTGAAATATTCAAATTTAAGTCATTTTAATGAAATTATTAAAATATTAAAATATTAATATACAAATAAAATTTATTTTAATGTAATTTTAAAAATAAATTAAAATTATTATTAAATAAGAAATCAATATATTTGTATAAAATGACTTTGAAATATTCAAATTTAAGTCATTTTAATAAAATTATTAAAATATTAAAATATTAATATACAAATAAAATTTATTTTAATGTAATTTTAAAAATAAATTAAAATTATTATTAAATAAGAAATCAATATATTTGTATAAAATGACTTTGAAATATTTAAATTTAAGTCATTTTAATGAAATTATTAAAATATTAAAATATTAATATACAAATAAAATTTATTTTAATGTAATTTTAAAAATAAATTAAAATTTCTATTAAATAAGAAATCAATATATTTGTATAAAATGACTTTGAAATATTCAAATTTAAGTCATTTTAATGAAATTATTAAAATATTAAAATATTAATATACAAATAAAATTTATTTTAATGTAATTTTAAAAATAAATTAAATTTTCTATTAAATAAGAAATCAATGTTAAAATATTAATCATAGAAAGGGTCTTGTTATTTTATTATTGCAGTGCGGCTCCGCCCCTGCAATGGACGGAGGGTTTTATTCATTTTATTATTTTATTATTTAAGTACGGTTCTGTCAGTGCAATGGGCGGAAGCTTTCGTAATTTTATTATTTATGTACAGCTCCGCCACTGTAATGGGCGGTGGGTTTTATTATTTTATTAATTTAAAATTTTTGCCGTGAACTATAAATATCGTTGATGTTGAATGATCCTAACTACACTTAAATTATTTTTCTTTAGTTGTATCTTAAAAATGTCTTCAACATCCGGGGAGTTTTCAATGTTTCCATATATGAAAAGAGACGAATAACTTATTTTTTCTCCAATAAAGCCTCCGATGAAGATCAAATTGTTGAACACGCAGACATTTGAGCATCTGCATAGGCACTTGGAGGGATAGTTAGGGGAAGAAATTGCCCAAGGTGAAAAGATTCGGAAAATAGAGAGGTTAGTTATGGTGCCTGGCTTAAATGGACCCACTCGTTCTTGGACACTTGTTCACAATGACGCATGTGTTCTTATGATGATGCTTCAACAAAAAGATATTGTGTTGCTGATTGTAATATTCTAGAAATGGTTATGTCCTTGTTTGAACATGTTGATGTTGTTTACGTTTAATGTTGTTGCTAAGTTCTACTATTCGTCTCAGTATTTTAATTTATGTGTTGTTTTTTCGAATTTTTATTTATATTAAATGCAGAAGTATTAGTGAAATGAAACATAATTACTCGGCGTCATTATACACACAACTTTGCAGATTGATAACAAAATGAATAACTAATTATTACTAGTTCCTACATTGGGGCATCACGTTCGGTTGTGACCTGGAAGACGACACAATGTGCATTTTCTCTCTAACTTATCATATGCGTCCATTTCTGTTGTAATACGGGTGCTCACGGGACGACCTTTCTTGTTCCTCCGCATAACTGGATTATGGCAAATTTGATCTCCCTCATAAGTGGGCCAATACTCATCGTATGGTAGAACTGGAAAGCTCGTGCTGTAAACCCCAAATAAGTTTGGCACCTTGTAAACGTCAGACAATAGAAGAAATACGTCTTGGCGCACCACAGAACATGCAACGATAACATGTGAACAAGGAACACGGTATGCTTGAAACTTTCCGCAGTCACACCATCCTTCCATTAGGTTGACCTTGTAACGCCCCAATGGCTTCCCCTCACCGTGGTTAATTGTCTCCTTCATAATGAAAGTGTTATTATTATGGTAAAAAATGCTTACCTGATGTGTGGCGGATTTAGACGTCTCTTCTTTCATCACCTTCACACACCGTTCTGTAAATGTTTGTCCATAATTCAAAACTGCACTCCACTTTGCACCCCTTTCAGCAAAGAGTGTTCCCATCCTATAGTATGTTGCACTTACTAACGATGTGATGGGGAGATTACGAGTGCCTTTAAATACGGAATTGTGACTCGACAAGGTTTGTTGTCATGTGCCCCCAATGACGACCCTCGTCAAATGCCCTCATCCATTTTTCAACGGGAATTTTGTCTATCCACCTCAAAGCATCACCATTAGCCATCCCAATTTCATTACGATAATATTTAAATGTTGGTTGGTTCAGCGCATACCCTACATGTTAAAAAAAATATTGATTAATATAATGGTATACTATCAACGAGCATGTAATGTTTGCATAAAAGGTACTTACCCATGTTGATTATTTTTTTCTGGAGGATACGGTCCTTGATATCCTTCATAAAATTTTGCGTAATATGCTTGATACAATACACATGGACAGATGTAGTGTTATTCCAACCATTTCAGGATTGTTATAAGCGCTTTCGATAGATGCATGTCGGTCAGAAATCAAACACAAGCCAAGTTGAGGAGCTACATGCATTCTCAAGTTTTTTAGAAAGAAACCCCAACCATCCGCCGTCTCACCTTCCACTAAGGCAAAGGCAACTGGGAAAATATTGTTGTTTCCGTCTTGTGCTACAACCATTAGTAGTGTACCTTTGTACCTTCCATATAACCAGGTACCATCAATATGTAGTAAAGGCTTGCAATATGCAAAGCCACGTATGCATGGTTGGAAAGCCCAAAATAGTCGGTGGAAGATTTGTTTCCCAGCAATAATAGTCTCGTCATCTGTATATACCGGTAGTGTTTGCATTTCTACTACAGTGCCTGGAACAAACTTCTTAAGGGCCAACAAGTAATTTGGAAGTTCATTGTATGACTTTTCCCAATTACCAAACACTTGTTCGATTGCTTTGTTTCTAGCAATCCATGCTTTCTTATAAGATGGAGTGTATTTGAAAAAAGAAACAATTTCCTTAATACATACACTCACCTTGATAGAGGGATCCTTTTCAACAAGAGGCATTAATCGTTCACTCATCAGTCGAGAGCTTAGTTGTCGATGATCCTGATTAAAGATGGTCGTTGAACAATTATGTGGGGGCTCCATGATTCCTATCTCCCATAGGTCGCTCATTTTCCTATAGGATGCCACTAGACGAAAGTTGCAACCACTACGCTTACAACAAATTTTATATCTCTTCGTGTCAGAACATGTAACCCTGAAATCAACGACATGTTTCATATGGTACCTGGATATCGCAAAGACACGGTCAGATTTGTTTTTGAACTGGTTCCCAACAGCTATGTCATCCTCCAGCGGAAGACGAGGATTTTTGGGCCATTGAAAGGATGATTCGTCTCCAACTGTTTCCAGAGTGGTCATGTGGGCGGGTGGACAATAGACATTCTCAAGTGGAATGTGTTGTTCAGTTTCGTTGATTGCATCCGCCTCGTCACATCCACCGTCTTCAAATAAAGTAGTGAATAAATCATCAGCTTGTGACTCAGTCTCTTCTTCTTCGTCATCTTCGACAACGACTTCCTCGGGAATTATGGACACGGGCTCAGCATCATTAGGATTGGCCACTTGTGAGATTTGAGATTGTTGAGAAAGTTGAAATTTTATGTATAAATCTATCGCATGTAACCCAGATAATTCATGGTTGTAAAACATCATTTCCACATCATCATCATCTCGGATTTTCAGTGGAACATATTTCACCTGGTTCACACCGAAATTAATAGCATTTCGATATATAATTTGTGAGACAGCTCCAGATTGCATCCTTGTTTGTATCCTCTCCCTCAAATATTCAAACTTCGCATTTCTACTTAATTTGAACTGGCGTATATCGATATTTTCGAATATAATGCCCATTTCATCAGAGATAAGGATCTCTCCACTGTAATGAGCATCCACTATATATTGAGGTATTTGAGACATGTTGATTTGTTAGTGAATAAGATCTGAATTGTAGGAGAAATTTGTTTTTGAAATGGGCTGGGTTGATGAAAAAAAGTAGGAGGAAGAAGTGAATTTAAATGAAATATATTGTAATAAATAAACGTAGGAAGAACTGAATTTAGTGGTCAAACTGATAACATTAACTCATCCGTCCATTGCAGAAGCGGTGCCATTAATTTGTGTAAGGGCTCCACCCAATGGGAAGGCGGAAGCATTGATGTTCGTATAGGCTCCGCCCATTGCTCCTGCGACATTGGCAGGCCAAATTGCACGCTTCCGCCCATTAAATGCGCGGATGGCAGACCAAAAAGTAACATGTCCGCCCATTGTATCTGAGGCGTGTCAGAAAATGCAAAGGGTTCCTCCCATTGAGTAGGCGGACTCTGTAAAGCTGTGCATGCAGCACAATTTACGTACACAACATGCATGCAAAGTTATTACTCCCAACCATTTTATGGTTTCCATTAAATTTTTTGAATAAAACCCTACATTTTTTCTCTATAAATACTATTCGTTTTTTCAAATTTTACATCATACTCAATCTTTATCTGTTCTTTCTCATCATAATTTTACACCAAACTCAATTTTCTATAATGTCTCTGTTAACTTATGGAGAGGAGCACCGAGGAACATTGTCAAACATACTTCAATATGTAAGTCTTGAATATATTTACGTATAAATTTTTTTAAATTTTAAGAATATACTTCTGACATTAACCATATTCTAATATTAACTATTTTATTTTTTAGAATGAGAAAAAATTTAGGCCTCGTACACACTCGTATGTGCCCGTAGACGAAATGATCCGTCCATATCTGATGCAAGCGGGCTTTGGGCACGTTCTCAACATAACGTCATATGGGGTGGATAGGAAATTTATTCTCGCTTTATGTGAAAGATGGCATCCGGAGACACACACATTCCATCTTCCTACCGGTGAATCCACAGTCACCCTTGAAGATGTCCACATGTTGATGGGTTTACGTGTAAACGGTTTGGCAGTGAATGCGAGAACAAATGTTGAATACTCCATAACTCAAGAACTCTTGGGTGAAGAATTTCCCGAAAGAGCTAGAAAGGGACAATTCGTCAAAATTACTTGGCTCCGGGAAATATATGATGCATTTGACTTGAACCAAGATTCCACCATAGAACAAATTCATAAAAAAACTAGAATTTATATTTTATTGTTATTCGCTTGTTTATTATTTCCTGACACAAATGGTAACACAATACATCTAATGTATTTACCATTACTAGCTGACTTTAATAAAATAGGTAGATACAGTTGGGGATCAACAGTTTTATCGCATCTATACAGAAACCTTTGTAGATGCGCCAAAAAAGATGTTCATAATTTTGCTGGTTGTTCAACACTAATACAAGCTTGGGGATGGCCCAGGATGCCGAATCTAGCGCCTAGGAATCGTAATCCTTTTCACTTTCCGTACACAACCAAGTAAGTTGTAACTACTCCTTTGTCTTAAACTTATTTACTATGTGAACAATATTTAAGTATTACATTTTTTTAGATGGTCTGCCTATGGGATGGATCATGAAAAGACTCCTCATCATTGTGCACCTGGCTATCGGACTTTCATCGATCATTTCGAAGAATCTGATGTAATATTCTTAACCATATTTTAAGTATTACATATTTTATATAGTTCGTTAAACTAATAACTGATTTTTTAACAGTTTACATGAAGGCCCTATCTGGGACTTGATGATACCGATCCGACCGATAGTCACGTGTGGAGTGCAAAAACATTTATCATCTGTTTTACTACTGTTGAAATGCACCATTCTGATCGGGTAAAACTATAATTTGGCATTAAGCAAGGCATACCGGATGCTCCACAGTGCATGGAGGAGTATCACAAAAGTGTGGTGAACGACCAATGGGCATATAGCAATTGGAAAGATTGTTACAAACAGGAGCGTTGTCAATGGCATAACCGCGAAAATAAAGTCTTACAAGGAGATGTCATGTCAGAAGAATGTAAACCAAGTAAGGAATACATGGAATGGTATAAGTCTGTTACAAATTTGTATCTATCACCAAACAACTTCTTATATGACCCTCGTAATTTGCCAACATCTTCAAACGTTCAACATACCAGACCATCATCAAGCACTTACACCCAACAACCATTCATGAGCAACCAAGAACCTTTCTTCCCAACACAACCATCTTTTACGCAACAACCTTTCTTCCCAACACAACCACCTTTTACCCCAAGCCAACAATACCATCAACAAAACCCTTCATCTAACCCCACCCAATGGGGCACCCAACAACAAAACCCTTCATCTAACCCCACCCAATAGGGCACCCAACAACAATATCCTTCATCTAACCCCACCCAATGGAGCACCCAACAACAATATCCTTCATCTAACCCCACCCAATGGGGCACCCAACAACAATATCCTTCATCTAACCCCACCCAATGGGGCACCCAACAAACCCCACATAATCCAAACTATCAGACACCCCAACAACAAATGCCTATTCCCCGACCACAACAATTTACCTCCCAAGATTGTTACCAACCCTCAATAAATAGCCCAATGTCTTCTAATCCCATACCAAATTGGAATTGGGAGGGAACCAGATTAAGTTATGGCAGTGCAACCGAGACAGACTTTACCAATGAGGACATGATTGAGGAATTTTTAATGGGCGGGTGTGACGCGGGACCTTCAACTTCAACTCAACCATAAAATGAAGAAGGAAATCGCAGAACAGGCCAACGTACTAGACGAGCACCTACTTGTGGAACTCACCAATGATTGACACGACCCAGTCAAAATCGACAGTAGATGTGTCTTGGAATTATATATGTTAAAATGAAAAAAATTAATTTATGTCCTTTAGTTAAATTTTTGTTTATTTATAGTATATTTTGTTTAATTAAAGTGTATTTTGTTTAATTATAATGTATATTATTTAATTATATCAATTTAATTTAGAAAATAAAAAAAAATCACGGTTGCACACATCCGCCCATCCAATGGGCGGACCCTCTCTATTTTAAACAGCATCCGCCCAATGCAGATGCGGAATGAAGAAAAAATGCACTCCTCCGCCCATTGTATTGGCGGATGAGTTATGGCAAAAAAAAATTTTGTTTGAAAAGAGAGTAGATTGGGATTAATGAATGTATGAGATGGTATATTGGAATTTAGTTGCTAAAAAGAGTGTATGTTGGTAAAAAATTCGAAAACCTCTAATGAAAGTTTCATTTCAACGCTGCTTTGAGAAAGATTGTAATAGCAACTTTCAAAGTTACAATGAGTAGCACGTTACTTAATGTAGGGTTTAACTAAATGGTATTTTCCAATGTAATTTCAAAACAAAAGGTTGATACACGTAAGTTAATGATTATTTTGTGCAGTCAGCATTAATTGTGGGATTTAAAAAATGGCAAGTAATAATTAGTATATTATAATGACCATTAAGGACATCGAAAATGCTGTTACAACTATTTTAGTTTGTATAATCAAGGAATTTTGGTAGTAATCCACTTTATTATATTAAAAGTAGATATCTATGTGCTCTTTTTAATTTTTAGAAAATCAATTATAATATTATTTTTTTATTAAAGTATATTGTATATTTTTGTATCTTAACATAAATGAAAAATATGTAAAAGAAAAATGAGAATAAATTGTCATACATGAATTCAACTCAGTTGGTAATTTGAACAACATATAAAGATATATATTTGAAATTAAGGTTTCTCATTTATTTTTTGGATTTAAGAGCGCACGAGTCAAACCATCTCTTTTAAGATTATTTTTAATCTAGAAGGATCTAGACGTCGTGTGCCATTGGATGCAAACATCAATAATTAAGGTTTTTGGATTGGAGGGGGAAAATGTTTGGGTTGGTGGCTCATGATGATGTCCTTCCAAGAGATTCATCAGAGGCATTTTAGAGCTTACACGACAAACATTTCATATTCTTCACCCTTTAGGATTTGCTGAGGTTCGAATGACATGTCATTTTTTCCCATTGTACTTGTTCATGTTTATTGTTAGGGTATGGTGCAAACTTGTCCCAAATTTTGGGCCACATCTCTCATTATCATGCAGTCGTTATTCCTAAATTTAGGGGTCATAGGGTGATGTGTGCGTTATTATTATTATTATTATTATTATTATTATTATTATTATTATTATTATTATTATTATTATTATTATTATTATTATTATTGCACAAGTTAATGCACAATGATGGTTTATGTGGAAATAATATTTCTTTTTAAGACGATGTCACTAGATTTGCTTGTCGAAGGCAGACTAAATTCTTAATCTCTCCGTTATTAAATCTATATATTTTTTTATACTTTTGGGTTGGTTAGAAACATTTATAAAAAGCAAATCATTTATTTTCTATTTTCTTTTCTCTCTTATCGTTTTTTCATCCCTTAAATTTCTTAGGATTTTTTACTGGGACTTTCATTTAGAGTTTCATTTTGTAGGGAGTCTGTTTTTTTACGAAAGAAATTCATTGTGCATAAAGTTTTGATCTTTTCTCAATAGGTAAGTTATTTTCTATGTGAACCTTCATTTACCACTCATAAAAACTTTGTCATTTTTATTTGTGTATGTTTCATTGTCAGTATTTGGAGTTATGGTCTATTTATCACTTCCATTGGTGGTTATTAATGACTATGGGTATTCCTACTTCGTTTCAGTATTATTGTGAAATGAATATTCGTTGGCTTTCTCTTTCTTAATGATTAGTGTCTCCACCCTAGATGCCTCAAAAATATTAAAGATGGCAGATATAAGTAGTGTGATAGTGTCTCTCATCATACACACCCTTTCTCCGTGGAAATCAAATTCCCTGTTATTATTTTGACGCATTCACGTACAAGTGTACATGAGTCACTTTGAGTCGAATTTAGCCAAAACCATAATCCAACAAATATAGGGTACACTGGTTTGGGTGAGGTAAAATAACCAT